ACCCAACGGCTCTTTTCAGAGCCACCCACTCTGTCCTGAAGAGCATACGAGCTACCTTCAAACGTGCAGTTACTATGTTGCCAACTACTGCAATCGTGGAAATGCTGCTTTGTCACTAGGTGCTATTGATCCGCTACATTGACCCAGACTCAGGAAGTGTCTTGTGTGTGTGTGTTATGGAACGATGACAAAGTAACTACAAATACAACATTAATGCCACTTTATGTTTGACAGTCTTTCAGTGCATTTCAATGGCTCCCCTGTGGGCGGCGCCTCCGCTGCATTTCCTGCAGGACTGAGAGGAGGAGAGCCACCTCTGTCCCCAAAGCCACTCTGCTTTTTAACTCCAGCCCTTAAGACCATTTCTCACACCTGTAAACGTAAACTACTTACGCTCTGTTTGTGCTGCCGACACTTTATTCACTTTTAGTCACCAAGTTATTTATTCACCTATTCAGTCACTTTAATTTTAAAACTGTGTATATGCTGTGTATTTATTATCTCATTCTTATTGCCTGTTTATGCCCTGTCCTTGTCTTCAACGTCATGCTGCTCCATTGTATCTTAATTGCCCCTTGGGGATAAGGGGTAATATTATAATATTGTTTTGTTTTGTTTTTTGTACATATTCTAAATTCCAAATATATTCAATACAGAGAAAATTCCAAAAAAAAAACAAAAAACCATCCAGCTTTTCTAGCGATGCTCAAAGAGGAATTTCCGTCAAAGCTATCTTCAATCTAATTCATAATTTGTTGGCTCCGTAGCCACCTTTCTATATGCCTTTAGATAGTCCAACTATTGTAGCAAGTGCTGTGAATAAGATATATCTATCTGCTTGTGGATGTGTGTATTCACGTGTTCATTCGCTGTTGTTGTTTATAGTAGAGTCGGTAACTGTAGCTGGAAGGAAACGGACTGATGCAGACTAAGAAATCAGGGCCAAAGTGTGGAAGCGAGCTGATTATTATTGATTATTTTATTAAACCATGTAACTTGGATGGATTCGATGCCTGCGTGACCACAGTGCACACGTCTGCTGTTGCTCACAGTGGTCCAAGTGTCCGCTCATGGAATTTGTGTGTTCGCTCAGACACATGAAAAATTAGAGGGAACATTAGTCATGAGCCACGTCGTGTCTGTTTCCACGAGCTTAGGATCTGCTTTTAATGTAAATAAAAATGGATTTTATTATAAAAAGAAATGCAGTTACGTTTCTCATGTTTCCTGTAAAGACTGAATTTGAAAGGTTTGAAAGTATTTAAATGTCTCCTGTTGAAGTGAAACACCTTTTTTATTGTTGTTCTACATTTTATGGACATGCAGCTTCAAAACAATGCGTTAACATTAACTTTTACAAAATACTGTACAGTTTCTCCCGCACTTCTTTCCAAAACACAAAACTTGAGTGAATGTGGGATTTTATATTTTACTGAGCAGCTGCTCTAGTAGAGTCCTTGGGGAGAGTTTAGGGGAATCTGCCGGGACTGAAAAGGTCACTGTCCCAAGAAGGAAGCCATGGGATCATCTGGCCTGCTGCGTTTCATGCGGAAGGCCTCCATCTCCTCCTCAGTGGGCGCCTTTACTTCAAACAAGCTGTTGTACGGCCTCTTCCTCTCATCCAGCTGCATTAGCATCTCCACCTGCTTCACCCGCTTGTCCTCTGCTTCTAGAGCCTTCTTCAGCTTTTCCTTCTTCTCCTCATCCTCCGAATCACTGCTGTCGGAGTCGCGCTTCTTGTTCTTCTTCTTCTCTTTCATCTTATCTTGATGCATTTCTAGCAGAGTCTTGGGCTGTTCCTCCTCCTGTGGCTCAGTTATTGCCTCTTCAAATGGAGTGCACTCTGAGTTGTTAATTCCAATTCCAGCTGATCCTGTGCAGTAACTCTGTTTGACCATGGAGTGGCAACACTTGTACCCCCAGAAGCCATCTTTCCAGTAGGAACCCCAAATACAAATGTGGTTGTTGATGAGCACGTCCTCCTCATATTTGGAGCGAGCGACAGCCTTTTCGAGTCCTTTCAGCACAGCGCCGTGACGCGAATACTCCACGTAGTCCTCCGTCTGGGCCAACAGCAACTCCCGCGGTGGTGCATCCAAATGCTCGTGGCCTCCATACTTCTCGAGGATGCTCTCCCTCTGTTCTTCTTTGAAGTCCTCCTTCTTGACCTTGAAGGAACGATGCAGCAGCTCTAGTTTGGTGGGGTCAGCCTGCAGATGCACCTCGGAGCCTTTCTCATAAACCTCCCAGGTAAACAATTGTGTTTGAGCCATGGAAATTGTGGCTCCACTGTAGCGAACAAAGTTGTCTCCAGCGTACCCCACTTCATCAGGGTTCTTGCCAGTGTTGGAGTACGGGTTCTCTCTCATTGCTCGCGTCTTTGGATCATAGTACGCTGAATTTGGATCCAGATTTCTCAAGTATTTAGCTGTGTCTTCTCTGATACGCAGATTCCTGACAGTGATTCGTCTCTTGGAGTCAAAGTTCTGACCGGGCATGTCGATGTCATCTGCATATTTGTCTTCATCCTCATCTTTACTGTCATGTTCCCGCTCAGTCTGGTCCAGTTTTCCCGAGGCCAACTCATCCTGAAGTTTCTGTGCTTTCAGTGTCCTCTTGGCCAGATCTACTTTGGCGTACTCTTCAACAATGCACTGATGTTCCTCGGGGTCGTAGCCATTCCAGCGATCACGCTTTCCATCATAGTCCATGGTGAGCTCTCCAATTGCAGAGTACTGCTTCTCATTCTTACTCTGTGGTCTTTGATGCTTTAGTGTGGGCCTTTTTGATGGGTCGATGTACCACGGCACTGATGAAATGTACTGTGGGATGTGGGGGTTTATGTCCTTTCCCTCCTCGTCCACCTCAGCTGGAGCGTTTCCCAGCTTTCTCTGCTCCTCCAGCTCCTTCTTCTTCCTCCAATCCTCTCTGGTCATCTTCTCGGTTTTGCCACGCCCACTCATCTTGAACCTTCTCTTCGCAGTGTCAACACTCAAAGGAAATGTGGCCCGATCGGCGCCGAGCCTGGCTTTTATTTACGCAGAGCGCGGGCGGCTTCGTCACAACCAATCGCAGACAGGTTCGCGGCAGCGCGCCTTTTCAAAGCACCTTCCTCCAATGAGCAGCACACACTTAGGCGGGGCGGGGCTCCCTCATCACGTGGAGCCCCTCACCAATCACGAGCCGCAGTGGCACCGCGTCACAGCCAGTCACACACTTTAAGAGCGGCGAGTCTCCTCCGCTTGTTACAGTTTCTGTTTTAAACGCAGGAAAGGCAAAGAGAGAAAGAATGGCAAGAACCAAGCAGACCGCTCGCAAATCCACTGGCGGCAAAGCCCCCAGGAAGCAGCTGCGGCCACCGGAGGCGTCAAGAAACCTCACCGTTACATGCCCGGCACCGTGGGTCTGCGCGAGATCCGCCGTTACCAGAAGTCCACCGAATTGCTCATTCGCAAGCTGCCCTTCCAGCGCCTGGTCCGCGAGATCGCTCAGGATTTCAAGACCGACTTGCGCTTCCAGAGCTCCAGTACTTCCAATTCTTTCCTGCTACACATAAGTTTACATTACTTACAGTAGAATAAAATTGACACCTCTGCTCTAAAGTACCTTTGGTAAACTCCCGTTGTTTAAATTGGCTATAAACTATGAATGTACATAACAATAAGCCTAACATGGATCAGATATTTTTCAGTTCATGTTCAGTTCACAGGTGCGGGTTGTTTTTTTTTTTT